TGGTGGGTTCAAACCCGGCCCTGGCCAAACTGCAACAAAAAAATAGCCAGGTATTGTAGTGGGTGCCTGTAGTCCCAGCTACTCAGGAGGCTGAGACAAGAAAATCGCGTAAGCCCAAGAGCTGGAGGTTGCTGTGAGCTGTGACAACACAGCACTCTACCAAGGGTGATAAAGTAAGACTCTGTAGCTACAAAAAAAAAAAAAAAAACAACAACAAACAAAAAGGGCTCAGCGCCTGTGGCTCAAGCTCAAACGGCTAAGGTGCCAGCCACATACACCTAAGGTGGTGGGTTCGAATCCCCAGCCCGGGCCCACCAAACAACAATGATGGCTGCAACCAAAAAATGGCCAGGCGTTGTGGCGGGCGCCTGCAGTCCCAGCTACTTGGGAGGCTGAGGCAGGAGACTCGCTTGAGCCCAAGGGTTTGAGGTTGCTATGACCTGTGACTCCAGGGCACTATACCAAGGGCAACAATAATGAGACTGTCCCCACCCCACCCCCCAAAAAATTTAGAATTAAAATCTGCAATTTACTCCAACACAAACTATTTCCACAAATAAAGAGTGGTATACTATAGTACTTACATGTTTAAACAAGTTAACTGTAGTAAGTGGAACAGCCTATCGTGAGAACTATAAAAAAAACGATGTCACGAGCGGCGCCTGTGGTTCAGGGAGTGCAATAACAACAACAACAAAAAAGAAACCACACACAACAATGTCATAAAATTCTCATTATTTCCAGAACAGTCACTTCCAATATGTGATTGTGATAAGTAGGAAACTTCAACTTAGTAAACACTGCCTAGAAAATGGTCAAATATGCTTATGGTGAGGATAAACTTATATATAATTAAAACACACTATTAAAATGTATACCTTCTTAATGCAGTCAAAAGTATGTTATCTACAAGAATAAAAGTTTAATTTATAATTACAACAGCAATTATCGGAAGTTTTACTTGTGAGGAAAAATAAAGTATGAAATAAAAACAACTTATAATTGATGCAGAACTGACTTATATCCTTGAAACTCTTCAAATGTATTACCATAAAATTATGATTGAGTTGAAGGCTAACAAAGAAAAATATGACCAAACATGATGAGTATTTTCCCTCATCCCTTGTTATATTAAAAATCATTATTTAAATAATATACAAATCAACATTTATTTTATTCTTCAAAGCCCCATACATTGTTGTGTTGGAATAATTCTAATAGAAAGGGAAGAAAAAAATGAGAGATGGCATCTGAAAACTAATGAAAGAAAGCTACTTTACTCATTACTCGGGCAAACTGAACAATTACCATTTGATTCCCCTTTAAACTTAACAGTGAAAAGAAGAAAGCACAGTAAGAGGGCCCAATTTCAAATCTTTTTTAAAAAAAATTTAAATTTAACAATTTTCTCCAAAGACACCAACTGCCTCAATATACTGCTATTGACACATTTTCCTATTAATGTTTTCCTCTTAATACAAGAAAGAACTATAAAGAGCTTTTAGAGCTTGGTAAGTTTGTATTAACGAGAAGCAATTATTAAGTTAGGAACCAAATAAAACAGTTACCAAAATAATAAAAAAGTTAATGCCTATTCATATAATTTTTAAGTTCAAAAAATATCTAATAAAATACATATTGTATTTCTCTCTAAATACCTAATTCCAATATTATCTATATATCATACCTCATTTACATACTGTTTGAAATATGAAAAACAGAAAATCAAGAGGGATTTGTAGCCTACTAGCATAAATACCGATTATTTTTTTAAATATGACCAATATTGAAGCCCAGGGTTCAACAATTTTTTTTCCCTCTAAAGGGCCAGAGAGCAAATATTTCAAGTTACGGTGGGGTCACAGATAGTTTCTAGTATTATTTTTTTTAATTTTCTACTATAATCCTTGAAAAAGTCAAGTATCATCCTTCTCTCTTTTGTAGTGAAGTATGAGAACAAGCAGTGATCCCAGGCTATAGTTTGCTAACTTCTATTCTAGCCAAATTTTATTATGATGTTTCAAAAGCGTGCAACACAAACTTTACTTTAAAAAAGGGCTATCTTAATATTTAAGTTATCACTTTTTCTATGACCATAATCTTGTGAAACAATTATCGATCCATTTTTGAAATGCCAATAAACTCAGTATACTTTTAAATATCTGATTAATCTAGTCTCAAAGTTAATTACAAAATTAATTTGTAAAATTTTGCCCATTTAAACACAAAAATGTTTAAATAAGAATTTGCAATTAATTCTATTTTAAACTTTAGCAAGGTTTCAAATTTTAAGAAAGAAAAGTAAAATTAAAATTGTCTGTTAGTTATACCAGTATTAAAATACCACTAAACAAATAGAAAACCCTGCCATAAGCATTTTTAATTATGAAATTATTTCAAAGGAGTCTGCAACTGAATTTATGATATAGCTAACTTATTCAATCTGGTAAAACACATTTTCATCATTTCCTCCTAATCCCCTAAACAATTATTTATGTATAACATTACAAATAGCTACATATTTACTCCCAAAATGTAAAATATATGCCAAAAAATATTAAGAAAGGTAATTACATTGATTTTTACTATACGCACTTTAGTAAATATTCAGGTAAACAAAAGGAGTTAGCAGAATTTCCTAATCCTCTAAAAGAAGTTTCCTTAAGAAAATGTATCATATACAGCCTATACAGGATTCCATTTGAAGATAAAAACACCAATTACTATTTTTCAAATGTAAGTCTGGAAAACGTAAAATTTTTACTTTCTTCTGTAATAAGATAAAAGACCCTCACATTGATAAATCCAACAGATTTATGTTCAAATGTAACAAAAAAGCTAAGATGGCAATTTAAAATATGTCATTAAGTGTTATATGTATTCAATGAGAAAAAAATAATTCTAAAAACAGCTCCACAAAAATTTAGAATGCTTAAAAAACAAGTCACCTAATTTGGGAACAGAATTTCAAAATCAATTAAATTAGACCTATAGAAATGATTTATGAAGAATAAAAAAATCTCCATTTGAATTCCAGTGCTGCATAATTTTCATTCAATGGATATTTACTTGATAATAAGATAAAAATATCTTGCTGTTACAAGTTAGGACTTATTTTACTGAGCACATTCTTTATAATAAAAGAATTTTTTTTAATTTTCTACAAAAAAAAGAATTGAGACAGAAGACTAAAAAAAAAGCAGCAATAATCTGAATAAATACGTTTAGCCTCATATTAAAAGTTAAACTTTAATTACAGAATCAGGGCTTTTGGACACCAGAGAAAAAAATAATACTAAATATTTTTCAGAGTTAAACTGGCATCCTTTCAAGAGGAATATGAGGTTCTTTGTTATCAGAAAAATTTAATAGATTTTTCCCCCCCAGTTTTAGCCAGGGCTGGGTTTGAACTCACCACCTCCAACACATGGAGCTGGCCCTACTCCTTTGAGCCACAGGCGCCGCCCCAACTTAATAGATTTTTTTAAACAGATTTGATAGTCTTATTTGCCCCACCAGCGTATCCCCCATAAAACAAAAACTTGGGTGAAATCGAGTTTCTGAACTAATGCAGGAAATGCGATAAAGGAACAAGTTAAATATCACTGCAAGAACATAATCAGCAAAATCTAGAAATGAGATACTACATATAATGCTGTTGCTTAAAAGGGGCAGGGGGATTTAAAAAGAAGAGGGAAAATCTATAGACTGACAACAGCAAATTCAAAGAAACCAACTAAAAAAAAAAAAATTGTAAGACCTGGGTAAACCTGAGCTTTAACAAGTTAATGATCAAGAATTACCAATGTTTTAGCTCACCACCCGCAGCACAGTGATTATGGCTCCAGCCACATACACCAAGACTAGCGAGTTCAAATCAGGCCGGGGGCCAGCCAAGACAATGACAATTGCAACAAAAAATAGCCAGGCATTGTGGTGGAGGCCTGTAGTCCCAGCTACTTGGGAGGCTGAGGCAAGAGAATCACTTAAGCTCAAGAGTTGGAGGTTGCTATGAGCTGTGATGTCACAGGACTCTGTCAAAAACAAATAAACAGGAATTGCCTTTTTTTGAGGGGGGAGGTTGCAGTTTGGCCGGGGTGGGTTCGAACCTGCCACCCTCAGTGTATGGGGCTGGTGCCCTACTCACTGAGCCATAGGCGCCGCCCTGAATTGCCAATTTTTTTAAAGATATGATAAAGTTGGGTTTTTTTGTTTTTTGAGACAGAGTCTTACTATATCTTCCTGGGTGCTATGTTGTCACAGCTCACAGCCAACTCCAACTCTTGGGCTTAAGCGATTCTCTTGCCTTAGTCTCCCAAGTAGCTGGAACTACAGGCATCCTCCACAATGCCCAGCTATTTTTTGTTGTAGTTGTCATTGTTGTTTTAGCTGGCCCAGTCTGGGTTCCAACCCGCCAGCCTTTGTGTATGTGGCTGGTACCATAACCATTGTGCTACAGGCACCAAGCCAATAAAGTTATTTTTTAAAAGTGCTCATCTTTGAAAGATATATTCTGAAAATAACTACTGATGAAATTATGTCAAGAATTTCACGCAAAATAATTTTAGAAATAAAGCAGACATATTTAAAGAAGGAAAGGACCAGCCATGTGTTTGTAACTGTTATGGTTGTATTACGACCACATGCTTGTGTCATTCAGTACATGTCAAAAATCTTCTAAATTAAAGATTTTTTAAATTATCAGTATATAGTAAAAGAAAAACAAAACACTCAAGTGGAGATGACACATATATAATGAAATCTCTAATTTATTACAATATATTCTTAAAATATCAATAAAAATTTTAAATTCATAAAACATAAATATTATCTTCAGAAACTAATTTTAATTCACTACCTGTAAGAGGTTGAGAAAATTGCTGGTTTAACATTATAAATGCAAAAAGATTAGACTACTATATAAACCAAATTCTAAAGAATTCTAAATATCCACTGTAAACCGGACAATATAAAATGCATTTTAGTTACTATTTACTTACATTTTCCATATAGTTTGGTTTAAAGCCCTCTTGCTGTCGCCTCAGTTCCTCCTGTTCTCTGTGTCGGATCATTTCTTCCTCACGACGACGATGTTCCTCTTCATGTCTAAAAAAATTTTCAAACTAAAACTTCAGCAATATGACATGTGGGCCATAATTAAATATTTATTTCATTTGCATTTTGCCTAATCTGTGATTAGTGCTTGGCCATCATGTCTTATATTTATTTATCTTCCTTCTATTTTGTTCAAGCCTTTAATATCAAAAATCAAACAAAGAAATAAAATAACTAAGATTAACCAAATAAAGTAACAACATATAACTAGGATAGTTATTTGGTCATATTCAAGAAATTAAAGAGTTCACGGGCTCTGCGCCTGTGGCTCAAGCTGCTAAGGCGCCAGCCACATACACCTAAGGTGGTGGGTTCGAATCCCCAGCCCGGGCCCGCCAAACAACAATGATGGCTGCAACCAAAAAATGGCCAGGCATTGTGGCAGGTGCCTGTGGTCCCAGCTACTTGGGAGGCGGAGGCAGGAGACTCGCTTGAGCCCAGGAGTTGGAGGTTGCTGTGAGCGTGATGCCCTGGCACTCTACCCAGGGGGATAGCTTGAGGCTCCGTCTCAAAAAAAAAAAAAAAAAAAAAAAAAAAAAGAGTTCACGAAAGCTCAAATATATGCCCACTTACTGTAAAAAGAGAAAAGTCTAGAATCTATATCACTGGCATAGCAAAGTTCTCAAAGTCACTCAAAAATACATCAAGAGATAAAATCACTTCAAAGGACCAAAATGCCTGGACATCCCAGTATGTGCAGACAGAAGCCTTATTAACTGCTCTGTCCCATTTTTATCAGCCCCATAAGAAAATCCCCTGTAATCCACAACCTGTTTTTATAAAGTTAAGTTTTATAGGATAACCATTTACTTTATAGAACTATCTATAGCCACTTTGGGTCTACAGCAGTTCAATACCTGAGAGACGATATGACCTGTAAAGATCGGAATATTTACTATTTAGTCTTATTCCAGTTTTGCCCACCCGTGTCCTGGAGGTACATTCAAGCAAAAACCACTATATGTGGACATGTAGGATTACAACCAAATCAGTAATTAAGTCATGATTAAAAGCGAAAACCCACCAAATAATACTGAAGTAACAGATTCACATTATATTGACATTAAAATCAATGCAAATTTAAATAAATACAGGTTGAGTATTCCTAATTTTAAAAAATTCCAAAATCTGAAACTTCTGAGACCTAACATGACCCCCCATTCCAAAAAAAAGAAAGTGCTCACTGGATCCTTCTGGTTTTCAGGATAGGGATGCTCAACTACTAAATGTAATACAAATATTCTAAAATATAAAAAAAGTCCCTAACACTTCTAGTCTCAAGCATTTCGAACAAGGGATATTTTAAACTGTGTGCCCTCCACCAAAAAAAATTGTTAATAGTTTAAATACTGAAGGCTAACTGAAGGCTATGTAAAACTGATTCACCTTCATTAGCTCTCAATTTCCAGATTACTCTTATAAGCATGTTTCTACATAGAGAATTATTATTCTCAAATTTTAACACATTTTGTTGTTGTTTTGTACAACATTCCCCCAAACACAAGTGCACTAAAGACATTGTAGGCGGCACCCATAGCTCAGTGGGCAGGGTGCCAACGGGTTCAAACCCAGCCCGGGCCAGTTAAAACAACAACAATGGCAACAACAACAAAAAAATAGCCAGGTGTTATTGCAGGCACCTGTAGTCCACCTACTTGGGAGGCTGAGGCAAGAGAACTGCTTAAGCCCAAGAGTTTGAGGTTGCTGTGAGCTGTGATGCCATGGAACTCTACCCAGGGCAACATAGCTCAACTCTGTTTCCAAAAAAAAAAGGGGAGGGGGAGTAATTGTCTGCACCAATTACTACTATAGTATTAATACTTTCCAAATGATTATTTTCTATCTCCCTCATTCTTTCTGCATTATTGGCATTCCACTGTAAAGAATAGCTGTCTTGGGCGGCGCCTGTGGCTCAAAGGAGTAAGGCGCCAGCCCCATGTACTGGAGGTGTTGGGTTCAAACCCAGCCCAGGCCAAAAACTGCAAAAACAAAACAAAACAAAACAAACAAACAAAAAAAAAAAAACACCAAGAAAATAAAGATCTAGTAATATCATTTTGTTGGTGAAACCATTACAACTTTTTTTTTTTTGAGACAGAGCCTCAAGCTGTCACCCTGGGTAGAATACTGTGGCATCACAGCTCACAGCAACCTCTAACTCCTGGGCTCAAGCGAGTCTCTTGCCTCAGCCTCCCACGTAGCTGGGACTACAGGCGTCTGCCACAACACCCAGCTATTTTTTAGTTGTAGTTGTCATTGTTTTTTGGCAGGCTCGGGCTGGATTTGAATCCGCCAGCTCTGCTATATGTGGCTGGAGCCTTAGCCACTGGAGCCACAGGTGCTGAGCCCATTACAGCTTTGACTATTAGGAGCTAATTCAAGTTGAAGCTTAGGTTTTTTATGTTTTGTTCTGCTATGGGCTGGGACTTTTTGTTTGTTTTTCTTTTCTTTCTTTTTTTTTTTTTTTTGAGGCAAGTGGTGCAGTCAGAGCTTACTACCATGTTTCCCTGAAAATAAGACCTACCCAAAAAATAAGCCCTAGCAGGATTTCTATGCATTTGTTAGATATAAGCCCTATCCCAATAATAAGACCTAGTGATGGCCATGCATTTCTTCACAGAGAGAAAGACATCCCCTGAAAATAAGCCCTAGTGTGTCTTCTTGAGAAAAAATTAATATAAGACAGTGTCTTATTTTCGGGGAAATGGAACAAAGTAGAACTCCTAGGCTCAGGCGACCCTCTGGCCTTACTGTCCCAAGCAACTAGGACCCAGGTGAACACCACTATGTCTGGCTAATTTTTTTGTCTATAAAGACAGGATTACTATGTAACCCAGAATGGCCTCCCAAAGTGCTAAGAATACAGGCAGGAGCTACCACACCCAGTTGAATCCTGGGTTCTTTCGACATGCTCTACTCTTGTAAAGTTTACTTTAAGACATAAGATACTCAGTGTCACATAAGATACTCAGTGTCACCTTGGTTTTTCAGTCCTGGAATCAATCACTTCTCAAAAAAACCTGTAGTTCCTTTCATTAGGTAATAGTGCTTAGAAACAATGATCTAGGTACTAGACGTGCTCTTTGTTTACTGAAGCATCACTGCTTCTAGGGCGTCTCAGGGACAGAACATACACTACAAGTACATATATTAACCCACATATATAAACTAACATCAATATTTCCGTATCTGTCAATATTAAAAAACAATGAGTTCTTAATTATAACTCTGATTGTAAACCAACACCACATCCCCTTTCAGTGTGATTATGCTATTCATCTGTAATTTGAATCCTTCGTATTTCCCCCAAAATGAGTGAGAATCCTGGATTTCATTATCTATGATACACAGTCATACGTCAGAACCCATAGGTGACTAGTCCCAGAAATTCCCCCAGATACTCAAATCTATACTCAAGTATCTGATGAAAAAAAAGGCATAGTATTTACAGACAACCCATGCACATCCTCCCATATAACTTATTTTCTTTTAGAGACAGGATCAGAATCTTCTCACCCAGGCTAAAATACAGTGCAATATCCATGTCTCATGTAATCTCAAATAGGCTTAGGGCTATGCCCATAGCTCAGTGGGTAGGGTGCCAGTCACATATACCAAGGTTGGTGGGTTCGAACCCAGCCCGGGCCAGCTAAACAACAATGACAACTGCAACAAAAAAAAAAATAGCCGGGCATTGTGGCAGGCGCCTATAGTTTCAGCTACTTGGGAGGCTTAAGAGAATCACTTAAACCCAAGAGTTTAAAGTTGCTGTGAGCTGTGACAACACAGCACTCTTCCAAGGGTGACAAAGTGAGACTGTCTGAAAAAAAATAAAAATTAAAAAAAAATATCCTAGGCGCAAGTGGTTCTCCCATCTCAGCCTCCCAAGTAGCTAGGACTACAAACATATGTCACAACATCAAGATAATTTTTATTTTTTGTATTGACAAAAAATAGGTCTGGCTATGTTGCCTAGGCTGGTCTTGAATTCCTGGCCTCAAGAGAGCCTTCTACTTTAGGCTCTCAAAGTACTTAAATTACAAGCATTAGCCACCAAGCCTGGTGCTCTCATATACTAGAGTGCTAGAGTGTAGTGGCATCATCATGCCTCACTGCAACCTCAACTCCTAGGCTCAAGAGATCTTCCTGCCTCAACCTCTCAAAGTGCTGCTATCACAAGCACAAGCCACCATGCCCAACTCTCCCATATACTTTAAATCCTTTTTGGATCTCCTATATACTTTAAATCATTTTAGATTAGATTACTTACACTACCTAACACAAAGTAAAGGCTACATAAATAATTGTTATGTCGTATTGCTTAGGGAATAATGACAAGAAAAAGTCTGTTCACATTCAGTACAGACAACAAATCTTTTTTTTTTCCAAATAGTTTGGAAAGAATATTGCGTGGGGCTGTGCCTGTGGCTCAAAGGAGTAGGGTGCAGCCCCATATACCAGAGGTGGAGGGTTCAAACCTAGCCCCAGCCAAAAATTGCAAAAAAAAAAAAAAAAAAAAAAAACCCAAAATATTGCTTGAATCCATGAATATGAACTCATGAATACAGAGGACAAACTGTATCTACTTATTCACTTAAAAAGTATACACATAGGCCAGGTGCAGTGGCTCATGCATGTACTCCTAGCACTCTAGGAGGACTAGCTGGGAAGACTGCTTAAGGTCAGCAGTTCAAGACCAGCCTGAGCAATGTGAAACCCCATCTCTACTAAAAATAGAAAAATTAGCCCGGCATTGTAGTCCCAGGTACTTGGGAGGATAAGGAAGGAAAACTGCTTGAACCCAAGAATTTCAGTTTGCTGTGGGCAAAGTAATAAGACTCCATCTCTCAAAAAAAAAAAAAAGTTTACACATAATCCATACTCATAACTAGATAACAGAATTTATAAATGGTTCTTCTCATCACTAGTCTTATGGTCTCTAGTCAAGATACTATTTTCCAAAGTTATTAGGTACCTTATTTCTTCTTCATCCCTGTTCAGTGTGATTATGCTATTCATCTGTAATATTCCATAATTAGGTTCATTTGTTTTTATTTTTATATCCTATTTTGGGTTCCATCTCATATTCTGCTTGGTTTTCTATTTGGGGGGAAACATGAAGGGTAAGGTACCATTTCAAAAAGCCTAGCTATCAAGTCAAAATGTACGAGAAAAAACTGGGTTTAAAAGTAAGGTTTTATGTTGGCAGAGGGGAGGTTTCCTTTTCCATGTAAAAGTATAAGAGATCTGAAGATGTTTACATAAAAATGAAAGAAAAATAAAGTTGAAAAAGGTGGAAAGTTGTGTACAACAGTGGTTCTCAAATTTTCAGGTGCATCAGAATTACCCAGAGGATTCTAGGTGGCTGAGCCCCACCACTATAGTTTCTGATTCAGTGGTGCTAAAGGGAGGCTTGAGACTTGGCAAACAATTCCCTAGGTAAAAATGCAGATGCTCCCTGAGTACCATAATTTCAGAATAACTTGAATACCGTAAAATCATATACAAATATATACATACAAAATCACGTGCAAAGACAAATGTACATTGAAATGTACTAAATACCCCTTATCTGCAGACTGTGAAGACGCTTCAGATTAATTCAGATTTCACTTCTTTACTTTTACTTTCCCATTAACACATTTCTTTTTTTTTTTGAGACAGAGCCTCAAGCTGTCCCCCGGGGAAGAGTGCCGTGGCATTACAGCTCACAGCAACCTCCAACTCCTGGGCTCAA